GGTGGAGCCAGGACCCTGCTCTGGGGCAACTGGTGGCGAGGGTGACTGTGCTGGCAGCATCTCGGGATGGGTGTCACCTCACAGCCCTGGCAGAGGTGGCTGGGGCTGGCTGTGACGCAGGCACTGGGCCTCCTGCCTTTCCAGGAAGATGAGCTAGGCAGGGTTGTGTTGGTGGGGGCTGCCAGCCCTGTCTGTCACCTGACAGTGGTCAGAGGACATCGGGTGGCTTGGGGGGTGCTCAACACCGGGTGCTGAGGGCTGCTCCCTGAGGACCCCGCTCAGCAGCCCCTCTGCAATGCCGTGCCGAGGGCTGTCGGCCTCTCCCTGCAGCACCCGGGCACTGGCTGCTCTCTGCTGCTCCAGTTTCTCGCCGTGATCTCCAGCTACGGCAGCACACAGAGGGACACTAAGCCTGTTACGTCAGCCCCACACTCATAATCCCATCAAAAACATTATCAAGATACTTTGACACGATCCACTTTCCTTAAACCTGTGTTGATCAGCATTAATTATATTACCCTCTTAATTATTTGCCACTGCAATCCCATGTCAGCTGCTCCAGTATCTTGCAGGGACAATGCCAGTGGCAGGACGTACCTGCTCTGGTCGCCCACTTGCGCTGCCGGACCTGTCCCCATGCTGCGTGTTCCTGCACATCCGTAAAGCACTGGGGATGCCCCGTCCCTCGCCAGATGCCAGCATCCCTGGCTGCTGGCTGTGCCGGCTGCTTGGCGAGGCTGAGGTGGGGGGGAGCAGTGCTGGATGCCCCCATGCTCCGTCCCGTCAGGTGGTGGGATGGGAGGGTGCTGTGCTGGGTGCGGACGGCTCTCCGGCACCTCCTCACGCCAGCCACGCTGCCTGGCCTGCTGCCTCCTCGCAGAGAACCTCTGGAGCTCGTACCTGACCAAGGGCGTGATTGTGGAGAAGCGGGCCCGCCCCCCCCCCCTGACACTCCGGTGGACATGGACCAGCCCTACGTCTTCAGCGACATGACCTCCTACTTCACACTGCTCGTCGGCATCTACTTCCCCTCTGTCACAGGTGGGAGCTGCCGCCGGCCTCGCTTGTGTGCCAC